GCTGGGATTACAGGCGTGAGCCACCACGCCCGGCCTAGTGTCCCTTCTTATATTATCATTACCTACCTTCATTATTAAAGGTTTTTTTTGTTTTTGTTTTTGTTTTGAGACAGAGTTGTGCTCTTGTTGCCCAGACTGGAGTGCAATGGCGCGATCACAGCTCACCACAATCTCCACGTCCCGGGTTCAAGCGATTTTCCTGCTTCAGCCTCCGGAGTAGCTGGGATTACAGGCATGCACCACCTTGCCTGGCTAATTTTGTATTTTTAGGTTTCTCCATGTTGGTCAGGCTGGTCTCAAACTCCCGACCTCAGGTGATTCACCCGCCTGGGGTCTCCCATATTGTTGGGATTACAGGTGTGAGCCACTGTGCCCAGCTTCATCAGCGGTTGGATGCAACAGTGCCTCATACCAGGTCTTCAGTAACTGTTGACTTACCCCCTCCATTTCCTACTAGTTTCCTCCAAGTTTCCTAGTCAGCAAAATCTGTTTTTGCAGCTCCTTCCTTGCACTCCCCGTGCTGGAGCGTACCCCTGTCTTTTCTCCTGCTAATCCCTTGATCAGAAACATCCATTCCCACTGCCTTTCTTCATCTCTTCACTTGCCTCATTTTGACTCAAACTTTGAGATTTAGACTTAGCTGAGGTGTCATCTCCAAAACACTTTCTCTGACCCATCAGACCAGGCTATCTCTCCTGCTGTTGTCTCATGACGTACTACGACGTACTACGCTTAACTCCTATTCACACGTAATGTTCACATGTGGCTCTCCAGCGCCGCTCAGTGGTGAAGGACTACAAAGCAGGAACTGTCTTCTACATCTTTATCCCCAGCTTGAACATAATGGATCCCCTCATTTGCTCACCATGCTTAGAAAGAACATACTGTTTCTTGGCCGGGCGCGGTGGCTCATGCCTGTAAGTAATCCCAGCACTTTGGGAGGCCCAAGTGGGCAGATCACTTGAGGGGAGATCACTTGAGGTCAGGAGTTCGAGACCAGCCTGAGTAACATGGGGGAACCCCCCTTTCTACTAAAAATATGAAAAATTAGCTGGGCCTGGTGGCATGCACTGTAATCTCAGCTACTGGACAGGCTGAGGCAGAATTGCTTGAACCCAGGAGGTGGAGGTTGCAGTGAGCCAAGATCGCGCCACTGCACTCCTTCCTGGACCACAAAGTGAGATTCCATCTCAAAAAAACAACAACAACAACAACAACAACAAAAACCCATACTGTTTCTTCTTTCAACCCAGAGGACCTTCCACTTTTGCCGCCCACTAGGGTCTTCCTTGGTCAAGTTTTGGCCTGCAGGTCTGCTATACATGGGAAGAGCTGCTGTTTGTTATCCTCTTCCATTTAATTGGTAATTGGTAGGCTGGCTGGGGGAAAAAAGACTAAAAAGGTCGCTCACTCTTCTACATTTCTTTGGTTCAAAGATTTGGGGTGGGGAGATTTTGTTCAAACCCCTTCACAATTTCCCTTTCCACCTTTGGCCAGAGCCATAGCTAGGATGCAGGTCAGGGTGGAAAAGGTGACTCCAGCGCAGCAGGACTAACCTTAATGCTGCTTACATGGGTAAACAGTGAAGGGTAGGGGCTCTGGAGACAGTGTGCCTAGATTCCTTCTGGACACACATCTGCCAGTCACTGCCTGCCGGCATGACCTTGGAAATAACTGGCGGTTATGTAGTAAATACACCATCTTCTTAAATTATTGGGGATGTTAAGCAATCCATCTAAGGCACTTTGTACACTGCCTGACCTTGTAAACACTCAAAACGTGTTGCACCTTGTACTTCTCCCCCAGCAAGGATAAAATTGGGGCTTTAAAGAGTCTTTAAGACCAGTCTTTGAGAGTGTCTCGAAGTCAGCAAGAGAGAAAAGATGCTTAAGAAATTATTTCCCAAGCTTAAGGAAAATGGCTATCCTTAGTTGGCACGGGCACATGTGGAGTCCAAACAGGTCAACTGGGAGTAACTTACATGAACCAGTCAGAATGGTCAAATTCTAACATAAAGGCCTGGGTCTACAATGAATATGCCGAGAACAAGCATGGTAAAATTGAGCAACTAGGCTGGGCACGGTGACTCAAGCCTATAATCCCGGCACTTTGGGAGACCAAGGTGCATCGTTTGAGGAACAGGAGTTGTAGATCCCATCTCTACAAAAACTAAATTAGCTGGGTGCAGTGGCACGCACCTGTGGTCCCAGCTACTCGGGAGGCTGAGGCGGATCACTTGAGCTCAGGTGACTGAGGTTGCTGTGAGCCATGATCGCATCACTGCACTACAGCCTGGGTGACAGGGCAAGACCATGACCCTGTCTTCAAAAATCAAAACACACACACACACACACACAGAATTGAGCAACCTGATTGTAACCCAAGTCCCAATTGATAATCTCCTATCTAAACTATGAGGACAAGGACTTTTTGAGATGGAGTCTCGCTCAGGCTGGAGTGCAGTGGCACAATCTCGGCTCACTGCAATCTCTGCCTCCCAGGCACAAGCGATTCCCCTGCCTCAGCCTCCCGAGTAGCTGGCACTAAAGGCGCCTGCCACCACGGCGGGGTTTTTTTGTGTATTTTTAGTTGAGACAGGGTTTCACCATATTGGCCAGGCTGCTCTCAAAACTCCTGACCTCAGGTGATCCACCCACCTCAATCTCCCAAAATGCTGGGATTACAGGCGTGAGCCACCGCACCTGGCCAACTTTTTTTGGAGACCAAGTCTGTCACCCAGGCTGGAATGCAGTGGTGCATCTCAGCTCACTGCAACTCACCTCCCCAGGTTCAAGTAATTCTCCTGCCTCAGCCTCCCAAGTAGCTGGGTTTACAGGTGCCCACCACTATTTTTTTGGGTGTATTTAGTAGAGATGGGGTTTCATCATGTTGGCCAGGCTGGTCTTTAACTCCTGACCTCAGGAGATCTGCCCACCTTGTCCTCCCAAAGTGCTGTGATTACAGGTGTGAGCCACCATGACTGGCCAACTTTTACACTTTTATTAACTAATGCACTTAAAATACAGCCTGGCAGCAGTGGGTCAACAAAATACTTGCAGAATTAGTGGGTATCATTTGCCTTTTTTCCCATTATGCATCCTCAAATTCCAAAGCTTGGCTGCACATCTGAACCAAATGCACATACCACCACAAACAACATACAGCAAAGGTGGCAGCGGGTGGAGAGGACTGGAAACAAAACTGGCCTACATATTTGACAGAGAAAATTCTCAACATTTGTGGCATGTTGGGGCTACAGAGTGGCAGGTCTAAGTGGGGGTCTTTGTCACCATTCATACTTATGACACGAACTCAATTGTGTCCCACTCCCAGCCCCCACTAGCGAACCTGGCAGTATCACAAGTTCCATGACCAGCTGTACCCTTGAATTTAACACAAACACCAGGAAAGGTTAAGGAATTTTCTTTATTTTTTACAAATTAAGACTACGTAGATTTCATATATTTCTGAATCAAAAACACCTTTGTCTTCACAGTATGAGTTAGAATGCAGCCTGAGCTGAAAATCAAGGAACTAGAAAATAAAGTGGTAATTAGAGATAACTGTATTAAAAATCTGTTAGGCATTTTCTTTAAAAGTAGTTTTTTTTTGTTTTTTAATATCTTGTCATTCTTGGCACTGTTTCTAAAAGAAAAACTCCATTATCCCAAGCAAAAAAGCACAGAAGGTGGAGTTTGGCTTCAGGAGATGTAACTCAAATTTTTAGACCTGGCAGAGAATCACCAAATTTATGGAGAGTTGTTAACAGGGGTTTAACAGGAAGGAAGTCCCTTTAGTAAGTTCTCTAGCCAGAGGCTGGAGGCAGTAGCTACATCAGAGGACAGCATCCTCAGTCAAAGTGAACCTTTCCGGGTGGCGTGTCACTTCAGGAATAAACACAACTTGGGAACAAATGGTTTCATGGGATAGCACAGTAACACGGTGCACTGTGAACCTGAAGCCACCATGTCAATCTGCGCACTGGTTGTGAATAGAGAGCCAAAAATTATGTCCTATTGGTAATGAGCTTTCAATGGCTCAATCCCCTTACACTGAGGCTCTGTAGAGCAGCTCAGAGCCACAACCACTCCCAACACTGGCCCTTCTGTGGGCAGCTGTCTGTGGCAGCCCACAGTGAAGGAGCTGGAGATCCCCATCAGGACTATGCACCCACACTGGAAGCCACAAAACTGCAGGGATTGGGGCTGTCACTGGTTTGGTCACCTAACTCCCACCTAAAAGGCCACAAATTTCTGGAAAACAGGTAACAGACCAAAAACTAAAGTGCATCAGTAAAATGAACATTTATCTACTGCCCTGAGTCTCTGGCTTGACACTACCTACTGGTGGTCAGTTGGGGACAGACTAAAATGCACTGGAGGACTATTGGATTGCTGCCTCCTAAGTTATCACAGCCGCATTCTGTTGATGTGAACAAGGAACTGCTTGGTTGGTAAAGGAGATTTTGCTCCCCACCGCCCCAAACAGGTCCTTATCTAGGTTTGTTCCCTGTTGCCCCAAACAGGTCTGGCAGGATTGGTTACAATGAGCTCCAGAGGCTCAACCATTCCCCTTCCCTATCCTTGCTCAGACATTTAATCACAGCCACTTAGTAGAGGCCACTCAGTAAGGGGATAACCAACTAAAAAAACAAAAACAGGGCAAGTTTAGGGGAACCCTACGATGCTGTACCTTGATACACATAATCAGCCTTTTCAAAAATGCCTGACAAGAATTAGTCTTCCCTTTGTGCTGAAGTCTTCCCACCCATGGATGGAAGCAGGCTGACTCCCTGAGGATCAGGCAAGGGATGGGAAAGGGAACACATTACTTTTGTGAAGGCAAAGCAGAAAGGTGTGTTTGCCAGACCAGCATGGGCAGCTCAGAGGAAGCAAAGCATCCACCAGAAGAGGCTCTCCATTTTCTTTGTAGGGCCTGACAGTTCAGATATGAGGCTAAGTTAACAATGGGACCACTGAATTTCTTTCCAATGGAAAACTCATGGCCCAGTCCCACAGGAACTGTGCGCATACCAAACAGCGATGAGGAAGGAAGGGCCGGGTGGCGCTACCGAACAGTTCAGGTCCACTGGTGGGAAAGCGACTTCTGAAGTTAGCGCCCTCTGCTGGTCCCACTCCTCATCACAACGGGTCGACTGCCTAAGTAGAGGAAGAGGCTACAGATGGGGTTGACAAAAAAGGGAGTGAGGAGAACCCCAGGAAGATGAAGCCAAACTCCAAACTATATTCTGCTAATCAGTTTTTTGATCAAAAAATTCAAAATAGAGGAAACCACAAAGTACAAAAGCTTTTCTGATGCTTTTCATTATCACAGAACACACCACCTGTAATGTGTGCAAAAAGGAAACGAGGGGTGGAAGGAGAGGAAGTCAAATTGGGAAAGGCTGGATGGTCACTTCATTTCTTCTCTTTCTTCTTATCCTAGAAATAGAGAAAAATCACCCAATTAATTTTTGACATTTGACATTCAAGCTGAAACTCTTGAGTGAGCATGTACTTAGGGACTAGAAGTGAGCCAGACAATTAAAAAGAAATGAGAAATGCTTCCTTGGCTCAGCAAAAACTGAATCTTAACGTCTTACTGGTGGTTCCCAAAGTTGCCAACAGACCAACTGAAAATAAAGGTTAAGCAGATGTCCCCACCCCAACCCCAGGAGTGCCTAGGTGGGCTGCCTGACCGTTCTAGGCTATTCACAGCCACCACAGCTCAGATCCCAACAGTGAAGACTGCAGATGGCGCTCTATCCTAAAAGAGTGAAACTAGAGGCCAAGACCACCAACCATCCATTAGGCCTGAGAAGTGCTCCCCTCTGCAAAGTGAGCATGACTCTTTGGCATAAACTGACATTCAGAAATAATTTGGTCCAGCAGAATTCTTCATTCAATCTTGGATGGAAGCCCAATGTATAAAGGAATAAAAATTGGGTTGCTCGTTCTGAAACTAGCACATCTGCCTAGTGCTCAGTCCAACCATGGCACAGCCCAGACAGAGCCAGCAACCCTATCTGGTCAGCTGCTCCCACTACCACTGTGCTATCTCTAAGCTCCATAAGGTCTGTAAAGAAAAGCTCATTTCAGTTGTTTCCCCCACTGCTGAACTAGACTATGTTGGATACTCATTAGCCCCATATAGAATGCTTCCTTGGAAAAAAAACAAAGACTAACAAATGGATAATATTAGTCTACTTCTGAAATTTGCAGTGTCCTCCACAATACCTTTCTGAGTCACAACTATATAGCCTTTAAATTATTCATATAGTAGGTTGTGTTTACTGCCCACTGAAGCTTTTTTCCCTTTTATGCTAAGCTCAGGAATTAGTTTAAAAAAATTTTTTTTTCACTTGTTGCTTTTTCTCTAGCAACTGAAGACTTATAGTTTACCTCTTACTCAGTGGCCTGCTTACAGTTATCCTGGACCTAACACAGTGTGTGAGCAAGTTTTCAAATCTGAAGTATACACACATGCTAAGCTCAGAAGCCATTATTCTCTCATCTTTGGGTGACAGGGCTAACAAACCTTTTCATTCATGGCCAGGATCATCATGAGTTTTCTGAAGAGAGTAACAAAATCTAAGAAGAGATCAATGCAGTGCCTGAAAGGCAAGAACCAGATTAGGATCTGTACTTCAGACTTTCTTTTATCCACAAGCTCACAAAGATGCAGAATATAAACCCCACTCCCACCCCCACGAGCCAGCTTCTCCCACACTTTACCCCCAACTAAGGAAGTAAAACTTGGGTGTCTGAGATCCTTTCAGACTCATCGAAGTCATGCAGCATACAGAAAAGAGACTGGGCCGGGCACAGTGGCTCATGCCTGTAATCCCAACATCTTGGGTGGCTGAGAGAGGTGGATTGCTTGCGCCCAGGAGTTCGACACCAAGCTGGGTAACACAGCAAAATCCTGTCTCTACAAAAATTAGCAGGGCATGCTGGCATGCGCCTGCAATCCCAGCTACTGAGGAGGCTGAGGTGGGAGGAACACCTGAACCGAGGGAGACTGAGTCTGCAGTGAGCCATGACAGTGCCTCTCCTACTGTAGCCTGGGTGACAGCAATCCTTGTCTCAAGAGCTTTGGACTCTGCAGAGGTCCAAGTCTGAACCTTTAACTACCACTAATTAGTCATGAGACTTTGAGAGAATCACTACATTAAAAAAGAAAAAAGTGCCAGGTGCAGTGGCTCACACCTGTAATCCCAGCACTTTGGGAGGCCGAGGTGGGTGGATCACCAGAGTACGGAGTTCGAGACCAGCCTGACCAACATGGAGAAACTCCATCTCTACCAAAAACACCCAGGCATGGTGGCGCATGCCTGTAATCCCAGCTACACAGGAGGCTGAGGCAGGAGAATCACCTGAACCCAGAAGGCAACGGTTGCAGTGAGCCAAGATCGCACACTGCACTCCAGCCTAGGCAACAAGAGCGAAACTGTTTCAAAAAAAAAAAAAGTGAGCTGGGCATGGTGGCCCATGCCTGTAATCCCACCACTGTGGGAGGCTGAGGAAGGCAGATTGCTTGAGGCCAAGAGTTTGAGACCATGTCCTCAAGGGACAACATGGCAAAACCTCATCTCTACTAAAATTACAAAAATTAGCTGGACGTGGTGGAGAGCACTTGTAATCCCAGCTACTAGGGAGGCTAAGGCACGAGAATTGCTTGAACCCAGGAGGCAGAGGTTGCAGTGAGCTGAGATTGTGCCACTGCACTCCAGCCTGGGTGACAGAGCAAGACTCTGTCTAAAAAAAAAAAAAAAAAGTAGCTGGGTATGGTGGCTCAAGCCTGTAATCCCAACACCTTGGGAGATCAAGGCAGGAGGAATGCTTGAGACCAATCTGGGCAATATGGTAAGACCCCATCTCTACAAAAAATAAATTACCCTGGCATGGTCACATGTGCCTGTTGTCCCAGATACTCAAGAGGCTGAGGCAGAAGGACTGCTTGAGCACAGGAAATTCAGGCTGCAGCGAGCTGTGTTCACAGCACCACACTACTTACTGCCTAGGCAACAGAGCGAGACCCTGCCTCTAAAAACAGAGTGTATCTTCTGCTCATTGTTTAAAGAATACAGAAGTATAGAAAGGAAAAGGATAAAGATCTCCCTCGCTTCTGTCTGGAGGCAGCCACTATGGATATATAAATATATCAGCCACCCTCCAACATTTTTTTTTTTTTTTTGAGACAGAGTCTCGCTCTGTCGTCCAGGCTGGAGAGCAGTGGTGCGATCTCCACTCACAGCAACCTTGGCCTCCCAGGTTCACACCATTCTCCTGCCTCAGCCTCCTGAGTAGCTGGGACTACAGGCACCCGCCACCACACCTGGCTAATTTTTTGTATTTTCAGTAGAGACGGGGTTTCACTGTGTTAGCCAGGGTGGTCTTGATCTCCTGATCTTGTGATCTGCCCACCTCAGTCTCCCAAAGTGCTGGGATTATAGGAGTGAGCCACTGCGCCTGGTCCCCATACTTTTTTTTTTTTTTTTGAGACAGGGTCTTGCTCTGTTGCCAGGCTGGAGTGCAGTGGCGCAATCTTGGCTCACTTCAACCTCCACCTCCTAGGTTCAAATGATTCTTGTGCCTCAACATCCTGAGTAGCTGGGATTATATACATGTGCCACTACGCCCAGTTTATTTTTTAATATTTTTAGTAAAGATGGGATTTCGCCATGTTGCCCAGGCTGGTCTCAAACGTCTGAGCTCAAGCGATCCAGCTGCCTCAGCCTCCCAAAGTGCTGGGATTATAGGTGTGAGCCACCACACCGGGCCTATTAGGCCAGATTTTTAAAAAATGTGAAGTCTTTCAGGAATTGAGGAAGATTACGGTACACAGTTCCAAAACCGTGGGTTTCCTACCACATACACTCCCAAAGCTTGGCCACCTATGTTCAGCCAATGCCAACCTAAGTTCAGCTGTGGAACGGTATGCGTCAACCTTCATGCTTGTTAAAGACTAGTTCCCACACTCACCAGATATAATCTTGATCTCCATTTTCGGCCTTTTCAATAATGAGTTGAGTATCAAAAAGGACAAAGCCACACATGACCACCAGTCCCACATACAGGTTTGCCTAACAAATGTACGAGATGAAGTTACTATATAGCAGAAGTTGCAGTGAAAAAAAAAAAAAAAACAGTCATACTTTCTGGCTCATGGCCACTTGAACATACATCAAATGTGAACCCTATGAACATTACCATTCATGAGAACTGCAGCCTAGGGAAGACCACATTACTTCCCTAGGCACAACACTGCACTGGTCACTGGAAGAGTTTCAATCATTTTAACAAGCAGCCACTGCCAGACTGGCCTTACAAAAATGGTGTCTGAGCAAACCATTCTCTCTTAGCAATGCCTAACCTTGTGCAGCCTGTTTTCACTTGTGGCAGAAGGCTCCATCCTATGAAGGATAATGGGAAGGCTTAGAGAGCACTGCCCAAAGTAGTACAGAAAGAAGTGGAAAGAAAAGGAAAGAAAGAAAGAGAAAAGAAAAGAAGTGTGAGGCAAACGGCTGCTAGCAAGTTCTAGGCAAAGTCTTACCTGGAAAAGCCAAATGGATCCAAAGAATACATTCCCCACAGAAGACAAAAGCAACAGGCTCAGGGCTGACATCAAGATACCTATAAGACACAGCAAAAGCTGTCTTGAGAAAAGCCAAAGCAAAGTAAAGCAATCCCATTAAAGCCATTCCTTAACTTTCCCCAGAACGAAAGTTTTTAATCTCAATTCAATAGTCGCAAAGGAGTTAGGGGTAAGGAAGGAGTACTAGTGAGAATTCTGGCTAAAGAGGAGCCCCCATTCCCTGTTTGCCAGTTCACACTTACCTCCCAGAAAGAGGTAGCTACGGCGCCTGGCATAGAGTGCACTGAGGGTGAAGCAGGTGAAGATCATTGCTGTGCCCATGAAAGCGGTGGGAAGGATGCTGTTAGAGAAAAAGACCATTAGATTAAGGGTATACATATTATGAAGGTATATATATATGAAGGTATATTCATAAAGATAAAAGCACATTAGACATGACCAAAAGAGTTACCTGGGGTTGACAGCAATACAAAATTCCAGGGCAGGGCCCAGGCCAACTCCTAGAAAACAAAAAACCCAGAAAACAGTATTACCATCAATTCTTGAATAGGATCCTCATCCAAAAGCTGATCCCAAAGTATAGGCATACTTATGCTCTTAACAAACGTGGACTAAAGAGTTAAATCTCTCTCCCCTCTGTAATTTTTTTCAATGAAATGTATACTTGGCTGGGCGCCGTGGCTCAAGCCTGTAATCGCAGCACTTTGGGAGGCCGAGACGGGCGGATCACGAGGTCAGGAGCTCGAGACCATCCTGGCTAACACAGTGAAACCCTGTTTCTACTAAAAAATACAAAAAAACTAGCCGGGCGAGGTGGCGGGCGCCTGTAGTACCAGCTACTCGGGAGACTGAGGCAGGAGAATGGTGTAAACCCGGGAGGCGGAGCTTGCAGTGAGCTGAGATCCGGACACTGCACTCCAGCCTGGGCGACAGAGCGAGACTCCGTCTCAAAAAAAAAAAAACAAAAATAAAAAAATAAACGTATACTTGACTGTGTTTTTTTGTTTTTGTTTTTTATTTTTTTAAAATAGAAATAGCTGCAAAATTGTGCTTTTAGCTGAAAACCATAAATGACCTCAGGGAGGGAACAGAAATTAGAAGAAAATAAAGCAGGCATGTCAAACATTTCAGAGCTAGAGTGATGTGAGATGGTAATATAGGCCAGATCAGGAATTAGAAAAAAAGGATAAAGAGCAAAACAGTGCCTTGTGGCCAGCAACCTTATTGTCATGGAGGACCGACTCCCCTTTGTAGCAAAGGCCAGACTGGTTCTGTAGGTGGACACCTGCCAACGGGAGGGCAACCTGTTCCAGCTTCAACATTTCTTTCATTCTAATTACTTTCCTCTTCCCTTCTGATAATTCCACCCCTTAATGCCTTCAAAAATTAGCTTGCCCTGATGCAAAAATCTTAATCCCTAAATCTCTTCCTTTCTAAAATTTCTCCAACACTACATATATTAGACTATCACTCAGAACAAGCTGTTCTAATTCAAATGTTGTTTTGCAAGTATTTTTATTACATAGCTTGAGTCTTGCTTCCTTTATGACAATTCTACAAAAGCTGTGTCTTTTTTTTTTTGAGAATCAGCAAAGTGTCCTGCACAATGGATCTCAATGTATAGCTTTAATGCACTGTCTGTAAGACTCAGAAGATAATTGCCAGTGTGGGTGCAACTAAGTCAGATTCTCAGGTCTAGTTTATTAAAAGTTCTATGTCTACTATTAATAGATTATGCCACCTAAGCTCTTGAACCTCATTCATTCAGGTACACAATGGCTATTTTTGGACACAAAAGTAGAGTCATAGTGGTTACTCACAAAGAGTTTCCCCTAATAGATGGGGAAACAAAATGAACCTATGTGAAATTAGAAAGCAGGCCAGGAAGGCCAGGCACAGTGGCTCATGTCTGTAATCCCAGCACTTTGGGAGGCTGAGGCAGGTGGATTACTGAGGTCAGGAGTTCGAGACCAGTCTGACTAACAGGGTGAAACCCCGTCTCTACTAAAATACAGAATTAGGGCCAGGGCAGTGGCTCATGCCTGTAATCCCAGCACTTTGGGAGGCCGAGGTGGGCGGATCGTGAGGTCAGAGGTTCGAGATCAGCCTGGCCAACATAGTGAAACCCCATCTCTACTAAAAATATAAAAAATTAGCCGAGTGTGGTGGTGGGTGCCTGTAATCCCAGCTACTCAGGAGGCTGAGGCAAGAGAATCGCTTGAATCCCAGAGGTGGAGGTTGCAGTGAGCCAAGATCGTGCCACCGCACTCCAGTCTGGGCAACAAGAGTGAAACTCAGTCTCAAAATAAATAAATAAATAAATAAATAAAGGCTGGGTGTGGTGGCTCACGTCTGTAATCCCAGCACTTTGGGAGGCCAAGGCAAGCAGATCATGAGGTCAGGAGATCAAGACCATCCTGGCCAACATGGTGAAACCCCGTCTCTACTAAAAACACAAAAATTAGCCAGGTGTGGTGGCACATGCCTGTAATCTCAGTTACTTGGGAGGCTGAGGCAGGAGAATCACTTGAACCCGGGAGGCGGAGGTTGCAGTGAGGCGAGATCACACTACTGCACTCTCTAGCCTGGGTGACAGAGGGAGACTGTCTCAAAAAAAAAAAAAAAAAAAGGAGTAGAGAGCTTAGAGATACTGAAAATACAGTTCACCCCTCAAAATTAGACAAATCCCTTAATGTACCTGTAAGGAAAGCAAATCCAGCAAGAAGTCCCAGTCTTTTCTGCTCAGTTTCATGGCTATGAGGTGTTGCCATCAGCCAAATCATCAATATCAGGGAGCCCAAGGCAGACAGCAGGCCAGCCTGTCAGAGTCAGAATTAGTCATTAAACACTTGAAAGTTTCAAATTTATTTTGCAAGACATCTTTATTGGGTTCAAATACTCGTCTGAACTTCCTAACATTTGCTTATAACCTGGAGGCAGGAGAAAAAGTAGTGTTTTCTCAGGGATGAGGCTGAGGAGAGAACCCAGAAGCCCTGAAGCACAGAGTCAGGACCATGGTGGATACTGGAGGCTCTTCTGGCTTCAACTACAGTACAACTACCCAAGTCAAACTATGAGTGAGTCCTGCCCAAAAAACAGAAAGGATGAATCAACGTGACAAGTGCTTAAAGTAGATTCCATCTGTAGAAGAAATAGAAACGATCCCTTTTTGATCACTTAAAAAAAACATGGTGGCTCACGCCTGTAATCCCAGCACTTTAGGAGGCCAATGTGGGCGAATCACCTGAGGTCAGGAGTTCGAGACCAGCCTGACCAACACGGAGAAATCTGGTCTCTACTAAAAATACAAAATCAGCCGGGCGTGGTGGCGCATGCCTGTAATCCCAGCTACTCGGGAGGTTGAGGCAGGAGAATTGCTTGAACCCGCGGAGGTGGAGGTTGCAGTGAGCCAAGATCGTGCCATTGCACTCCAGCCTGGGCAACAAGAGTGAAACTCCGTCTCAAAAAAACAAAAACAAACAAACAAATCCCCCAAAACCAAAACACCAAGACACATACATATACAGAAGACTGTAAAGTACTAAAATGTTAACAGTAGTTATTTCTGGATGATGGGATTATGAAAGTTTTTAAAATACTTCCTTCACATTGCTAGTCTGTTTTCTGAATTTTCTAAAATGAACGCATATTAGCTTTGTAGTAAGAAAAAAGTGTTTCTTTTTTTAAAAACGCAAGTGGGACAAGCTACAGGCATTAGAAAAAAGAGAAATCATTAAGGATGGATGTAGACACTGAAGTGCCTTCCTTCCTTTAAAGGAAGAAGTTTATTCTCATTATTCACAGTGTTTATGTTATAAAGTCACAGTGGACAATGAATTAGTAAGCCCTTGTTCCTGAGGGAAATAAAAGGTAGGTAGGTTCCTGCAAGCCTAAGGTCAAAACATTTTCATCAAATGATCAACAGATACCTTGTTTTATGTGTGTTTCTGTTTAAGGACACCTCATCTGACATTATTTTTTATCCCTTAACATTGAACTCACAGTCACAACAGCAGTACAACTCATGGTGGAATGAAGCTTATCTAATATACACATTTTCTTCATAAGGCACATTACGGTCTTTCTGCACTCAGGAATACCAGACAGCACTTCAGCACTATGCTGTTTGCATTCTGAACAGCAAAATTAAGCCAAGCATGGTGGTATGTGCTTGTAATCCCAGCTACTTGGGAGGCTAAGGTGCGAGATCACTTGAGCCCAGTAGTTTGAGACCAGTCAGGACAACACACCAAGACCTCCACTCAAAGAAACCCAGCAAAATCACCAATTAAAAGCACAAAAATACAAAGAAAGTGGCACTAAATGATCATGAAAAGAACATTTGTTTACAATATGAGAATTGAAACAAGGAGGCAGAACACTGTCTTGTTCAACCTCAGCTGAAAACATTGCATAGCAGGGTGACTCAACTTTTCCACCACTCTGTGCCTGTCTGCAAAAAGTGCCATGAGTATTGATTTTGGGGTTACAAATTTTAATGAGTAGGTGAATTCACAAATATAGAATCGTGAATAACAAGGATTGATTGCATTTTACTACTTTATTTAAGGGCTAACCTTGCCTAAAACTCAAGCGATCAAAGCCCTATCTTTTGAGTGTCTACAGTAATTTTTCACACAATCCCTGCCAGGAGATGCCTGAACATAAGGATAGTTCTCAGCAGTGGCAAATGCCAACAGAGGCCCACCTCTACATTTATGCTAAAAGGAATATTCTACAAAGGGACAAGACTATGTTAGGAGTCTTCAAACTTTCTGGTTATTCCTCAAACTGTACCTTCTACTCCTGTTGACCAAACCCAATTCTCTCTCAATACAGGAAAACAAATTGTTGAAGGTTTTTACCCAACCATGCAGGCAACAGTTATCAGAAAATAAAAGGGGTCGATTCCTTAAAAAGATCTCAATCCTGCCTCTGATAGTTAATCACACAATCAGAGTTTTGCAAAGGAAGAATGGTGGAAAAGATAAAAAAGGCTTCTGTGCAAAAGAATCCCAGCATGCACGTCATGCATCTACTCAGTGGGTGGGGGTCTTGTAAGTCAGCAGCACACCATTCAGTGCGAAGGTTAAGGCATTCTGTTTTCAGTATCTAGAGAGGGCACGGTTGCCAGAAAATTAAAATGGCTTTACATGTCCTGATTTAATGGCTGAGTTTAAATCCTAAACTACTGATAAAGATTAAAGAGAGGAACAGGGTCCCTGGACCACCTTGCTGAGCTGGTTTCTTCCTAATGTAATTTGTACCACAGCAACCAGGAGAAAAAATCGTTCTTACCTGAATGAAATGAGTGACCACATGGACATAGGACCCTGCAGCCGCCACAAACATACAAAGGGCAAAACTTGCATAGACCTTCTTCAGGTGCTGCTGCGTTGAGGGGGTTCTAAGAAAAGAATGTGAGTAAGAGCAATCACTCCCAGACCAATCTCATATTTAAGCTAAGAAGAATCACTTATCTCTTTGCCTTTCTGGGAATATGTAAAAGTTCTGTTACAAATAGTCTGAAATACTTTTAGGAAAGCATATTATAATAAAAAATAATATTTTGAAAATAGGTTAACAGAATCTTAAATGCTGAGGAAGACCAAATGCCCAAGATTATGAATAATCAGTACCCAAACTAGAAAAAATGCCTTTCCAATAACCACACAGCAACCTGTAGAATCTGGACATTTTCATCAGGTCCTCTGGATTCTGGCCAATTTATTAGCTTATATACACAAAAGTTATAAACGCAGAAAAGGGAAAAAGAGATATGACAAGAAATGCTGTACAAAACCAGTTAACGTCAAAACACTTACATATGAGAAAATTTAAAAAGCGCATCAAAGTTGATCTTTCGATCAAATATGTTCATGGTTCCAGAGTCTGTGCAACAGTCTCCACTCTGTAGAATAAAGGTTAGAGTTATTAAGTCACACGGAGTCACACGAACAGCTTATTAAAAAAAAAAAAAAAAGCAACATATAAGTTCAGAAAGATGAAAACTTGCCTAAAATTCTACAGCCCTAACACAACCATTTTTATTTTTATGTGTCCTACAATGTTATTTGCAATCATAGCCAACCATTTTAAAGAGGACAGAGGAATTGAATGCATCCTCTTCTCCCCCAAAGTATTTTGTTACTACCATTTGATTTCTATTCTTTCAGAAGGCAATTTGCCCCTTTAAAAGGCAGAAAGTTTCTAAGACAGATTCTCAATTAACAATCTAGTTAAAAGCACCTAGACATTGGCACATAAAGCAATTTTGTCATTGTTTCAAGATGCTAAAGAATTCCCTCGGTCGGGCATGGTGGCTCACGCCTGTAATCCCAGCACTTCTGAGAGGCTGAGGTGGGCGGATCACCTGAGGTCAGGAGTTCAAGACTTGCCTGACCAACATGATGAAACCCTGTCTCTACTGAAAATACAAAAAATTAGCCGGGTATGTTGGTGCATACCTGCAATCCCAGCTACTCGGGAGGCTAAGACAGAAGAATTGCTTGAACCCGGGAGGTGGAGATTGCAGTGAGCCAAGATGCGCCACTGCACTCCAGCCTGGGTAACAGGACAAGACTCCGCCTCAAAAACAAAACTAAACAAAACAAAACAAGACTATATAAAGCTGGGTCTGGCACTAAGACTTCCATTTTAAATATATGCATATCAAAATTTCTCACCTAATACATTTAAGAACTGAACTGAAAAGGATTCACAATTTTAATAAAAAGAAAGGTTTCTACCTCCATAAAAAAGGAATTTATGCAGAAAGGAGAATTTTTGGGGGGTATTTTTTGACAGTTTCAGAACCTTTCCTACAGAAAGGCTGGAACAGTACCAAGAATTCCTGTACAACCTTCACCCAGATTTCCTAAATGCTAATATTTCACCATATTTGCTTCATCCCCTCTCTATATAACAATATATAGAGAGATGTAAAAATATTTTTCCCTAACCACGAAGACACAGTGCTCCTAAATACTTCAGTGTGTATATCCTGAAAGCAATGATCAAAATCAGGATATTAATACCGATGCAATACTATTTCTAATCTACAGGCCTTATTCAGATTTTTGCCAAGTGTCTCAATGTCAAAAACAGCATTTTTAAACTGAATTATATCCAGGTTAGATCATATCAATACCATAAAGTCAAGTTCTTAAGTTTTGCTCTCTCCCCCATTTCACATGCAATCCTAAGTAAACATGTTCAATCTACAGTGCTAAAGATTGAGTCAAGATCTTTCATCTTTTCTAAATTTAAATCCTCCAAAGTCTTATCAGGGCCTTAATGCCCATCCACTTTAAATCTACCAGAAAAGGAGGGGCAGGGAGGAAGGGATTCAAACACAAAAGATAAGTTGTGTGAAAGGCCACCTACTGAATGAAGCACTCTAATGAGCACCTAGAGCAACACTCAGAACAATTCATCCAGGTAATAAAAGTTACAGTCTCCAAACAAATTTCCTAAGGAATCCTGGGCCAGTGGAAAGATATAAACATCATTTGCTTCCTGAGGCTCTCTCCCACAAATGAAATATTCACAATGGCTGGCTTGCCTTCTCTGATTTCTCCTTTCCTTCTCTCATCATCATCACTACTCACCTCAGAACTTTTGTTAGTTCAGTTCTTAAGGACAGATACAGTGAGAAGCTGCAGAACCTACTAAAGTTGTTGCTCTCTCCTCTGAGTTACAGGGATCTGGGCCCTCTTGATCTAGATGGTGCAATTATTGCAGGTTGTTACAAGGACACCCACAGCCTTCCAAAACCAAGATGAATATGAATATGTCCTCTAGAGAGCACACTTACAGCATGGCAGAATTCATCACCTGGAAAGTGTCTTTGTTTAAGGTTTCCCATTAACATCCCTAATGACATCCCTAGACGACACTTACAACAATACTGAAGCAACCTTCAGAGCCAAGTTTCTCAGTATTCACAACAGCAACGCTAAAGAACCTCTTGCTTCCAATTACAAGAATTAAAGAAGGGTGGGGGGTGGAGGGGGTGGATCCTCAAACACCCAGGGGATTCTAAGAAAGTGGCAACACTCAGGCAACCAGACTCTGCTCAGTGGAATCTGCTCGAGGGGAGAATGGCAGAAACTCCCCTTTCTCAGATACCTCTCTGACATTTCCTAGGGGGTACTGACTGCCTCTTTCTGGTTCTCTCTTAACAACTGTTGATGGAAAATCCAAAACCATCAAAGGCTGTGTTGGTTGGGGCGGGGGCGCGGATGTGAAATAGCAATTTCACTTTAATAGAAGCTTGTGGTTTGAAATCATTAAAAAATAACCAAAGCTTCTGTTTTTCAATATCACTATTTCAAAATTTAAGCAAAATATGTAACTACCAAATATTGTAGATGCAAAAGTGCACAGCAATTTTAATAGCTTTATGGCGAAAAAAAGAAACCTGGTAAAGCACAGATGGTCCCTGACTTACCAGGGTTGACCTATCACTGGGAGAAATTGATACTCATTCAGTACACTCCTTGATTTGCGATGGGTTACATCTGGATACACCCATTGTAAATTAAAAGTTCATTAACTCAAAAATGACTTACAGGTTGGGCACGGTGGCTCACACCTGTAATTCCAGTACTTTGGGAGGCTGAGACAGGTAGATCACTTTGACATCAAGAGTTTGAGACCAGTCTGGCCAACACAGCAAACCCCTATCTCTATTAAAAATACAAAAATTAGCTGGGCATGGTGGCATGCCCCTGTAGTCCCAGCTACTTGGGAGGTTGAGGCAGGAAAATCGCTTGAATCCGAGAGGCGGAGGTTGCAGTAAGCCGAGATCACACTACTGTACTCCAGCCTGGGCAACAAAGCGAGACCCCATTTCAAAAAACAAACAAAAATGACTTACAAAAAGAAAAGGACTTACATTTTCGACTTACAATATTTTCAACATTTTCAACTTAGGGTATTTTCAAATTACAATGGGGATTTTCCAGATGCAGCCCTGTCTTGAGGAGCATCTGTATACATTTAATGTTTATGATACAATGTACTGATGACAATTTCAAAAACATTAAAACATGAGAGGGAATACATAGGTCTTAGAATCAAAGAAATGTGATAGTTTGCTCCAGATCTGTTCCAAACAGACAAGAATATACAGATAAATAATGAGATCAAACTGTTCTGACAAGTTTTCCCAGATAAAATAAACTTACCAAGTTTCAATCTTAGCTTCAACTAGTAAAGCTCAGAAAAGATACCCACATTTCAATGGCCGATATGCAAACTCAGCCAAACGAGATTAAGTTGCACTTAACTCAAAAATAGCAGCTCTCATATCAAGTATTTTCCATCCTAGGAGCAATCATCTCTTAACAGGGTTTGAAATACTACATTCAACACCATTAACCAAGTAACTCACTAACTTCCCAGATGAACCCACAGATAAATGAAAATCTTTGTTTTTAAAAAAACACACTAAAATGTTATGTATATTTTACCACAATAAAGAAAAAAAGTAAATCACAAGCTGCTAAAAAATTCAATACAGCAGTCCTTTCACACCTCTAAGCCTATTACTTACTAATTCAACCCTAAAATAAAGAGGGGTTATTTACATAGAATACAGTGTGGGTAGTGCCTCCTGGAGTTGTGGAAATTTTGCCTATACTGAACTTGTAATGAGAAGTAAATGTTCAGGTGTTAATCATAACCAAATTCCTCTCATTGTATTCAGAGCCTCCTGTTATGCTTTCATCCCAGGAGAGGAAAACCTGAAGCTGTCAACATGTCATGTACATACTGCTAAAGTTTTGCTGAAGTGTCGTCATTCTGTGGTATCCATGATCAGCCTCCTCTGCCAGAGCCATGCAAAAACAAAAACCTAAGAGTTTAATACACAGCTCTCCCAAGAAAAAACTCAAGTAAACATAATTATTTTGAGTTAGATATTCCTGTGGTCTGCTTCTCCTTGGGTAAGGAGGGACAGCAGGGGCTGGTAGGAGACAGGTATTCTTAGCAGTGGACACCTAGGTCATGTTAAATGCCTTGTTGTTTTGTTCTAGGTATCTCCCTTACCCTTGTCCTAAAATGAAAGACTATTATCAAGGGTCCAGCCTTAAATTTAAAACAAACAAACAAAAAACCAGGCCGGTGCGGTGGCTCACGCCTATGCTCCTCCCAGCACTTTGGGAGGCCAAGGTGAGCAGATCACGAGGTCAGGAGTTCGAGATCAGCCTGGCCAACATGGTGAAACCCCATCTCTATTAAAAATACAAAAATTAGGCGGGGCGCGGTGGCTCAAGCCTGTAATCCCAGCACTTTGGGAGGCCGAGATGGGCGGATCACAAGGTCAGGAGATCGAGATCATCCTGGCTAACACGGTGAAACCCCGTCTCTACTTAAAAAAAAAAAAAAAAAAAAAATTAGCCGGGCGTGGTGGCAGGCGCCTGTAGTCCCAGCTACTCGAGAATGGCGTGAACTTGGGAGGCAGAGCTTGCAGTGAGCTGAGATCAAGTCACTGCACTCCAGCCTGGGCAACAGAGTGAGACTCCTTCTCAAAAAAAACAAAAAACAAAAAAAACACACAAAAATTAGCTGGGTGTGGTGGCGGGCACCTGTAGTCCCAGTTACTCAGGAGGCTGAGGCAGGAGAATCGCTTGAGCCAGGGAAGCGGAGGTTGCAATGAACTGAGATCACGCCATTGCACTCCAGCACAGGAGACAGTGCGAGACTACGTCTCTAAAAGAAAACACACACACACACACACACACACACACACACACCCCATTCTCTTCAATCCTATTCCCACACACCTAGGAACTACAGTCAGTATGAAACATGCTGAAGTAGCCAAAAGCTATGCAAAACAAAACTATCATGGATTCAGTTTAGTATGCATTCCACGCATGCTGGAGGCAGGACAGACGTAGCCTC